TGTTCCAGCAGGCCTGGGGCTGCTGAGTCCCATCCCCTACTCGAATGGGTATGCGTGTTGAGACCTTTTAGACTGTTTCCTACTGGTTTTTTTTTTTTTTTGTGGTTTTCCTTTTTGTATTGTCCTTCCCCCCCCCCTCCCTTGGTTTTGTTAGCCGCCCTGAGTCCCTCAGGAATAGGGCAGCATACAAGTCGAATAAAACCTTCAAACCTTCAAACCTATTCCAAATTTTGGATATAGAGAAAATCCTTATATCTATTACTAAGCCCATCAGAAATAATGGGAAAAATTTAGTGTATGATTAAGAAGTGAGTCTCTATTCTAAGACATAGTAATATCTTAAAATCTGTCTGGCATATTTCCATTCAAATGATGATACATGTGTTGAATTTAAAGTTTCTGAACTGTCTTTTATGATAGCCTCATACATAAAATTCATTAAAGTAAGTTAATTATAAGTGAATACAAACTGAAGGATAATGGCTAGCTTTATTTTCTCACCTCAGCTGTGTGTCAGAGCTGGTACTGGACTCTTAATAATCATCATTAGCCAATCTTCTAGTGCTGTGTTCCAGTGTAAGCTTGATTATTTTGTTCAGGAAATGCAACTTCAACCAAAATGAGCTTATATTTATCCTCCAAATTAGCCAGCAGAACCCACAGTTAATAAATTCCTTATCTTGTTTGAACTAAAGGTCAGTCAGCCTATACACTATTGTGCAATTAATGATGAATGATAGACATCAACATTTTAACATTTGAAATTATTGACTTGCTGAAATATTTTTAAGAATAATTTCCTTAAAGACCATTATATTATTTTCATGAATCTGAAGCAGGGGTGGGTTCCAACCGGTGTTGGTATCGGTTCGCTTCGTGCCCGCTTCATTGCATGCACATGCACAGATCACTGTAAATTGTTCTGCACATGAGCAAAGACCATGAAAAGCTAATAAAAAACATGCTGGCAATGGCAGCAAAGACCAAGGAACCAGTTCAGGGGTGCGGCCAACCTGGGTCACTGTTGGTTCTGTAACCCAGGCCAAATTATTACTACAAGTTTGCCCAAACCGATGCAAACCGGTAGAAACCCACCTCTGATCTGAAGCTGCAATTTTATGCACCCTCAACTGTGCTGAACCCTACAGTGTAGAGGGGTCAGCTTAGTGTCTGTTAGATTACCTACAGTGGGACTTGAATGAGGGGAGTACAATTCTTCTCATTCTGATAGATCTCACAGTGAACTTTGAATTAATCAACTATGGTGTCTTTCTGAGTTGTCTGTGAGGTTTGGAGTGGTTCTGATCAGTGATGGTAGGAGAAGAGTGATTGAGATTTTGGCTGCTTCAATACAGAGGTACCCCAAGATTCAACTTTCTCCCGCATCCTGTTTAATGCATGGGAAAGATCATTTATCAGCCCATTCTATCAGTATGCTGAGGATACCCAACTGTAATCTCCACCATAGGTTGATAGCCTCTCTGGAAATAGTCTGGAACTTGATGATTTGAAACATATCAAGCTGAATCCCTGAAAGATGAAATACCTATTTGTTCAGAAATACCTTAGCTCCCCAAAAGCTCCAGCTTTGGCTTTAAATAGGATTTGTATATTTTCCCAGACGATCTGGAAATTCTTCGGAGACAGTGTCCAGGAGAACATTTTTCCCAGCTATTTTTTGTACTGGGGAGTCAGACGTGATTATTCTTGAAGCTAGATGTTTGACTAGAGTCACTCATGCTCTTATTCTCTCATGTTTGGAGAATTGCAATCTACTGTACTTGGGGCTGCTTCTAAAGATTATTCAAATACTGCAAAAAGTTTACATTGTGGTTGCCTATTTTCTGACAAGCAAAAGCCACTCCAGCAGAAAGATCTCCTTTGATTACTGTACTAGTAACCTATATATTGTAAGGGCTGGTTTTACTATAAAGTATTTCATGCATTGTTCCTGGCTATCTTTGGAATGATGTGGTCCAGGAAGAATCTGCCCATTCTATGTATTAAGTTGTGAAGGTTTTTGCATGGCTCTGCCTCCATGAAGATAAAGAGGTGGGAACCAGGAAACCTATCTCCATTCTGGGTTGCCCAATACCTGTGGAACAGTTTGCCCACAGGGTTGAGGTGTCCATCCCCTTGTTAACAGTCAGAAAGGAAGTGAAAACTATCTCCTTTCCTCAGGCTTCCAAATCTTAATTTATTGGGGATATTGTTGACATGTATTACCAGCTGGATTTATCTATTTTTATCCTTTTTATAATTATAAGATTTCATTATTGTTTTCAACTTTTAAACAGGTTTGTAAAAAGAACAAAAATATTATTGTTTTAAGCTTGTAAATCAGAGAGTTTTAAATGGAGTAACATAGAAATCATGTAAGTCAATCAGTCTGCATGTCTGGGGATTTGACAATTCGAAGACAAGCTACCCAGATCACTTTAGATAAGAATTGTTGACTCCTATGACATTTATTTCTTAGCAGAAAGACACAAAATGAGCCTGCATATCAAAATTAAATGTGACTAGACTGCCCTTGATTTTATTGACACTTCTTTAGATATCTCCTAATATTAATGTAATAATTTGATGCCAAAGATGTTTTCTTCTTATTTTATCTTCCTGAAGGTGTTCACATCTTTAGGTGTCTACCTGAAGATTTTTCCGTCACTGGTGCACTCCAGTTTATTGATTTACAGTGATCCCCACACTGACCTAATTTCTGCCAATAAAGATGCATAGCTAACTTGTATCTCAATGAGGCCTTGTGGTGCATTGACAGCCAATCTTGTGAATGTTCAGTACATCTTATTTATAAGTAAGTATACTGGTTTAAGAACTAACTAATGTATTGATCATCATGCTGCCAGTCATTGTTTTTGCTATAACAGATAAACAGGCTAGATCTGGATTATTATTTTTTCTAAAATTGCTCTATGTCCGTTCATCTCAGTCTTATATTTAAAGTCTCCTATTCCTACAGTATACTTCCTAGCCTTTCTTTTCTTGTACTATGTTCTTTCAAAACAGGAAGATAGATATCTATAAGGGAAACCCTCATTGCCTCTGCATTGACCCAGCTATTTATCCAATATATTTACTTGGCACAAAGAACAAATGGGTATATATCTCTCTTTGTAGAACAGCTAATTATAAAATGCCAGGAGTTCAGTCTGGCACTGTGGCATACTGGTTAATCATTTATCACGAGCTGTAGTTTGTAGGTTTCTTGATTACCATGTACTTCTTCCTTGTAACCCCTGCCAGAGCTAGGCCTCATTTTTGATTGGCGGGTTTTTAAAAATGTTATTGTTCTATAAGTCTACACAAAGGTCTATCAGGAGCCATAGGTAAAGGTAATGTTTTCATACATAGCCTAAACAAACCTTTTTCAGTAGCATTTTTTCATCTTTCCAAAGGTATAGGACTAACAATCTAAAATTGAGATTTCATGCAGCCAGAATGCTTCTAAGGCTATGCTAGTTGATTTCACATTTGCTTATCATTGGGCAACATTTGAAGCTGTTATATAATGTATATAAGAAGGCTGAATAAAGCCCTCGTCCTTTATGTGATATAGTTCTGGAGGCATTCCAATTGCATGAAATCTGTTTCAGAATTTAGTTATTGAAATTAAATGTAGTATTTGTTAGGTTTTTTTAATATTCATACTATACATAATGATTTGGGACATATGAGGTTTTAAAATTTCATACAATTCATCTTCTACAATATCAAAATTTAGGGAATCAATCCACAGACAATCCTGCATAGACTTATTCATACGTAAGCCTGATTTAGTTCTGTAAGGTTTACTCTAAGGAAAGTGGTATAGACTACTACTTCTTTTAATGCTTCTTTTCTGCATGCCAGATCATGATACATATAATATATACCAGTATAATACATATCCGGTATGTATTACTGAAACCTCTCTTACATTGGTCTCCTACCAATCTGAATTTAGGACTTCTCTTTCAAGAGGCATCATGGAGACTTCCAGATGTAGAACAGAATTCTCAACTAATAACACAATGTTAATATTCGTTGATGTAGATCTTTGCATCTAACTAGGCAAGATTGAACCAGGAATGACTTGTAGTCTTCCTAAGTAACAGGTCCTTATGCTCAGCAATGAACCAAATGTATCATCAGATATTTTCTTTGCGCTCGGTGCACACACAAATGAAGAAGCCACACAAAAGAGTGGAGAAAAGGTTGAAAAGATATGGCTGCAGTTGTCTGTGTGTATATAGTGTTTACAGCTTCCCTCTGAAAAAATTTTTTTTTCCCAGAAAGCTTCTTGTTCAAAAAATTGCATATTATTATAATGCATGCGTACAATTTCAACAATCATTTGGCATAGCTGTTTTCACCCACCCCACTATAATTTCCTCTCTTCTGCTGGGCTGGGCTGAGTCTTTGGTTAGCAGCAGTGAATAGTTGGTTTGAAATATAGCCCACAATTGCAGGAAAGCTACGTATATGCAAAAATAGAAAGGGCTGGTACTTGGGTGCTTTCTCTGCTGCACTGACCTGGCTCTGATAGTTAGGCAAAACAGGCTTCTAGAGGGCTGTTAGGACACTGGATGGACCTTAATAGCTTAGAATAATCCACATTATTTAATAATTGGTTTTGGACTCTAGGCAGTCTTATATGCTCAGTATCTTTGGATTCTTCGATAAAAGAGAGCAACATTTCTAATATCAAGTTAAATATCAGGAAATAAAGGCCCACCTTCATGAATTCCATATGACACCTTGATGGGTAAGAAAATATTTTCAGTAGTGATAATCCCAGTTGAAGTTTAGGCAGCATGCAGTATTTTAATCCAGTGAATTAAAAAAGCAGATTTTTTTAGCCAAAACTTACTTCAAAACTTTGATGTTCTCTGCATGCAAGGAGAACACTGCTGCTAATTTCAATTTTTTTCCTGAATATATATCCAATATATCAGTTAATAACCTGGGATCATCCAAGGCTTGTTACTCATTTTTAAAACTACATTGTACAAAATGAAAACCAAAAAGTTGTACTATCTGTGTGGCCTGTGCACAAAGGTTGCTGTTCACATTTTAGCATTGGGGTTTAACCTTCTTTCCACCCATCCTTTTCTCTGAAAAAAGTAGCTTAGCAAAGCAAAGTAGTTTTAATTAAGAATGGCTGCCTCAATTTTAGCTAATATCTGTCTCTGACTGAGCAAATCTATGTCTTCTCAGTCCAGTCCAGCACCATCACTGTTCATTACTTTTGAGCTAGGATTACTTTTCCCTGTTTTCTTCTTGCCTTTCAGATATTCAGAAGAGACTCAACCAAACAGGATACTGCAGCAATATGACAATGCTGGTTGACTGCTTGTTCAACCTGTCCCACAGCATTCTCTGTCCCATGATCTGCTTGACCATCATAACTGGTGACAGCAGGTTTCAAAGAAGAACTATTACCAAATCCTGTGTGTGATATCTCTGGATGGCCATTTGGCACAGAGACCTTCACAAATTCTATAACTCCAAACGTTGCCTGTACTATGTCACTGGGATGAAGGGGGAGAGAAAGAGAATGGATTGATACTTCTTAATTGAACAGGGAAAGGATTGTGGATTCTGAAAATAGTGAAACATGAACTTGTTGCCTCTGGTGGAAGTTGTGAGTGATACAATTGCTTTAGTTAGAAAGCCATTAGAAAGGCCCATATTGTCTAGCAATGAAGCTCCAAAGAGGAGATTTGGTTGAAGATATTCACCAGATATGGCAAGCTTTGTTGATAGTCCATACGTTGTTATATTGGAAAGATTCATTTTGGTCAGCCTTGGTTATCTGGAGGGACAGTTTCATGTTCTACAATACTCTAGAGGAGGTCTATGTCCAAGAATCAGAAGAAGAGATCAGAAACATTTGTTGAAGCCCTGAGACTCTGGGGATACCGTACATGTTACAATGTTGGATGAGGTTATGACATTTTGAGATAAATATCAGAGTTCACAGATCAACTCTTGATAATTGATTGGTTTAGACCTCTTTGAAGTAATATGTACCTTTTCTGCAGCTTGGAGTAAAGAAAAGAGTGTGTCAAAGAAAAAAAGAACTGTCAGAATGAAAAGTGTCTTTCTTTCCTCCGAGTCCTGCTTCAGCCCCATCCTGCTTTGGCATGTTGTCTGCTATATCCTAAAGAATGCTGCATTTAATCATTTAAAAGATTGTCCATACTTTTTCAAGTTTATTGGAAAAGGCAAGGGTTGGGAGACCAACCAAGTATTTCAAAAGCAGCTTTGGGGGCTTGCATTCTCTCATAATCTACCTATTTACCTTGCTGCCAGCATCAAAGAAGCTACCATAAATAGTATGTGCATATGTAGTATATGCACGGTATGGACATATGTAGTGGCTCAGTGGCTAAGAAGCTGAGCTTGTTGATCAGAAAGGTTGGCAGTTTGGTGGTTCGAATCCCTAGTACTGCGTAATGGAGTGAGCTCCCGTTATTTGTCTCAGCTTCTGCCAACCTAGCAGTTTGAAAGCATGTAAAAAATGCAAGTAGAAAAATAGGGACCACCTTTGGTAACAGTGTTCTGAGGCCTTCAGCATTTAGTCATGCCGACCACATGATCACAGAGATTTCTTCAGACAACACTGGCTCCTCATCTTTGAAATGGAGATGAGCACCTCCCCCTAGAGTCAGGAACAACTAGCACATATATGCGAGGGGAATCTTTTACCTTTAACATATGCACTGGATCCATGCTGGGCTCAAGCTAATCATTGCTCCTTGGACTGCCTTCACACTGGCAACTCTTTTTTTATCATTTATGGAAGGTAAATATTAGATTAGGAGGAGAAGGAGGCCTTGATACAAATGATCTATTTGTGGCCATTCAGAGACAAAAGCAACAGCTGTATAATTGTGCATGTTGGAATGGTGACCATGACTCATAGGCTGATTCATGAATTGTGGCATGCTGCAGATCAGACCGGTTTACTTCCTATCATATCACGTAAAAGGTTTCGTGCACTGGACTCCCATAACAACTTCTTTTAAAAAGCAACAGAGATACTTCCTGAATTATAGCCAGGATAGAAAGTTCCCAAAGTAAGGGAAGGAAAGGGGAAAACAAACTGAAAGATAAAGAAGCAACACAAAATTAGGTATTAATTTGTTATTTAAAAATTCATACAGTATTCTCATTCAGTTCATGTTTGAAAGAAATCATTAAACCTTGACTCCTAAAAAGAATATTTATTCAATTTTTTATTAACTCAGTAAACAACCAGCTTATTGACAGAAAGCAAACATATATTTATAATCAAACACCATAAGTAAGTGATAATTTAGTCTTTGCCACAGTGAACAGTTATCCTTTTAGTTGCCTTGTTGGCCCCACCTCCATTCCCCTGATCAATGAATTCATAATTCTTCAAATAATAAGTTTTATGTTTTGGATACATAAAAGGAAAATACATTTTCAACTTCAGCTGCACCCTTTGTGGACATCAAACTAAAACAGAGCAATAATAGAGCACGCCTATATCATAAAAATGTCGACCTAACCATTTTACATTTTCAGAATAATGAATAGTTAACTCTTTTTAAATAACTTCTGGAGTTACAGTCAACATGACAAAGAATATTTTATTGAATTAAAGTCAGTTTAAGCTAATATGAAAAATACTTAATATACATTAAGACTTTCAACTATTTTCTAATAAATAACATTCCAACTCTATTTGCGGATTGGGATTATCCCAGTTTATAATTCTGATTCAAAACCTTTCAAATGTGCCTTGGTGTATTTAATGCAGAAACAGAGCTACAATGTCAAAGGGGGCATATAATAACTTTCTATTTGTGCTCATATTTTATCTTATAGTTTTCATTCCATAAGAAATTGAAGTCCAAATGTATATCCAGTGATAAAATTGAAACCTTTATCCTCATATAATAAGTATAAGTTAGGTAAAATATATCTAATAATACTGATGTTATAACACTATAGTTTATAGTTCTTCTCATGAAATGTTTATGACAAAAATGCATTTATATTTTATTTTCTTTATTATTATATTGTGGCTCCCTTTGTTCCATATTCTACCCTTTCTTATATGTATTAGATTGTCAAACATGTACAAGATAGTAGATATAAATATAAACATAGATATGAACGAAAGAAATGAATACAAATAGGTGGGGCAACAAACCCATAAATCACAAGTTCATTTTTTTCCCATTTTCAGCAAAATGGTTTCCAATCAGTGATAAATGTTTTTCCAAACTAAATAAGACTATTTTCCCTGCTCTGCAAATTCTGTAAAGATCGGAAGTTACCTCTTTATATCTTTTTTCAAAGAAACATAAAAAAACGACAGCAGAAAGAGATCTTGTGCTCCATCAAGCTTGCCCTTTGAGATTTTTTTTAACTTCTTTTAATATTCTTTTAATATCTTTTAATATTTAAAATTTTCATTTTAGAAGATGGGCATGTTTAATCATGCTTTATCCCAAGCATGTTTAAACTCAGTTACTGAAGATTGACCCACTGCTTCCCCTTTTCCTTTTCTCTCACTTTCTTCACTTTTTTCTTTCATTTTTTCCATTTACTTATTACTTTTCTTTCTTTTTAAAAAAATTGTATTGTTTTTACTTTGCAAAAAAACTTCAGTAAGAATGATTTAAAATTTTTCATCATGTTTGAAATAACAATGGAATATAAACAGTTCAAGAAACACACACACAAAGAGAGAGCGTGTGTAATTTACATAAAGGGTATAGGAGATCCATGAAACTTCTATTAACTGAAGTCAAGTCATCTAATACATTATCGAACTAGTTCATTGTATCAATGCGTTTTTGTACAGCAAATAAATAATTGAGAGATAATGTATAATGTATTGTTACCATATGGTAATAGTTCATATGCAACTGCAGAAACTTTTAAGCTTGAAATGTTCTCCATTTGTCTAACAAGAAGATTAACCTCTCCAATGTTAGATTAAAAATTAGAGATCCTTGATCTAGATGTTTATCAATTTTAGTTAGATCTCATTTTGGCATTAAATAATCTTAGTTAATGTCTACATTATTTTTACTGGGAGAGTTAGCAGACACATGTCAACTATCCAGGAACTATATATTTATTGTTGATTATTTTTAAATGTCTCTCAATATCAACCACTATGATACCTTCAGAAGGGAACTGATGGCTCTTCAGTACATCTCGGAAAGCTGTTCTGCATTGCTTGATAGAAACTTCATCATGATGAGATTCAAGTATTAAAGGAAGGAACAGATCTAAGCAATATTGTGTTGAACGGTTATCTTATCCGGGAATAAGGCTAATTTAACACTGAAGGATTTTCAAGCCTGCACTCCATTTGGAAGACTGTGACTCACATCCTGAAATGAAATGCAATGGACGAAAGCAAAAATGACTGAACAAAAGTGAATGGCATTATTTACTAATTTCTCAGCCTTTGTTGCTTGAAGAACATTTTGTTTTGCCAGTAAATACTTCTTTGAATTCTTACAAGCATAAGATTGTATCACGACTGCAATGGTAATATCCAGCCATTTAGTCTTCTCCTAGCTTCTTTTTTGCCTTTGATTCTCCCAAGCTTCAGTGTACTATAAATGTAAGTTGAATTAAATTACATTAATTTAATATGGAGAGCCAGCTTAATGTGTGTGTGTGGGGGGGGGTGCGTGTGTGTGTGTCTGTGTGTGTATCAGAGGTGGTATTCAGCCAGTTCTGACAGGTTCTGGAGAACTTGTAGCAGAAATTTTGAGTAATTTGGAGAACCGACAAATACCACCTATTCACTATCTCCCAAGTCCCAGCTGATCAAAGTCTTATTTTGTTGCCCTGCATAGGAGAATGGAGCTGGAAAGCAGGTTAGTAGGGTGGGGAAGGAATAGGGATTTTGCAGTATCCTTCCCCTGCCACGCCCGCCAAGTCATGCCCACCAAGCCACGCCCACAGAACTGGTAGTAAAAACTTTTGAATCGCATCACTGGTATGTATGTATGCATACTTCTGCCAGCCTACCCAACAGGCTTCTGTGGTGGCTTCATCTTAGAGCAGGGGTGTCAAACCTGTGGTATCATGGTGGCATCACATGACATATCGCAACTTTTCCCCCTTTGCTAAACCGGCGTGGGCATGGCCAACACGTGATACAGTTGGCTAATTAGCGGTAACAGCATTAACCCATTTGTCATAGAGTAAATTACTGCCCATCCCTAATATGCCATTATATTTCCATGTACAGAACAAGTGTAAGTAATTGGCTGATCTGCAGGCGGTTATGTCATTCCGATCCACAGAAAACTTATATTCCTCTCTTTCATTGAGAAGACTGAAATAAATAAAACCACATCATAAAAAGATAACTAAGAAGTAAAATAATAAACTATATTAACCTGAAGGGCACACTTTAGATTAGGAAAGATTGCACAAGAGTTAGCCTGCTTCCTAGATCGTTTGCCTCATCTGATGTGAACTTTTTCCCTATGGGTTGTTATTAACATACAGTATATCTGAATATTAATGATTTCATGGGTTTTCCCCATCATTCTGATTTTTATTCCAAAGCATCCACTGAATGAATTCATGGAATATGGTTGGATCTGCTGTTTGAAAGTTTTTCCTGATTTCCATCATTCTTTAGAAGAGCATCTGCTCTTCCGAAGTATTTACATATAAATGCAGCTAATTTACTTAGCTGCATGTAAACAGTATTTACTAATAAAACAGAGAGAGAGAGGGAGAGAGGGAGAGAAAGAGAGGGAGGGAGGGAGAGAGAGAGAGGGAGAGAGAAGTGAAAGCTTTGTTACAAAATGCTTTTGATGAGTAATACTAGCCCAGGGGGGGTTGAAAGTAAGCAGGTTTCCTTTGGAATAAGCAGTGACCAATCTGCTAAGGAATATAGTGACTTTAACTACAGGTAGTCCTTGATTTACAACCACGATTGAGCCCAGGATTTACATTGCTAAGTGAGAAATCTGTTAAGTGAGTTAAGTGAGCCATTTTACAACTTTTCTTGCCACATTTGTTAAGCAAATCACTGCAGTAAATCCTGGGCTCCATCACAGTTGTTAAATTAGTAACATGGTCGTTAAGTGAATCTAGCTTCCCCATTGATTTTGCTCGTCAGAAGCTCGCAAAAGACGATCTCACGACCCTGAGATGTTGCAACCGTCATAAATATGAACCAGTTGTCAAGCATCTGAATGTAAACCACATGGCCATGGGGACGCTGCAACGGTCGTAAGTGTGAAAAATGATCATAACTCACTTTTGTCAATGCCTTTGCAACTTTGAACGGTCATTAAATGAACTGCTGCATGTCAAGGACTATCTGTACTCAGCTTTTCCTGCTGTACATGAAGGAAATGCATATATGCCTACTGTGATGTTTCACAACAACTTACTACTCTGCTTACGTACCTACTCAGGCGGCTG